ACGGGTCGTGGAGGGTTACCCGCGAGCGACCCTTAGAGGGTCAGGGTCAGGGTCGGGTAGAGGGTCCAAGATCATGGACCACCCGGAGGGTCACTGCCAGGTCTAAGTCTACTTAGACCCTAAGATACTACTTAGCTATTATAGTAGCCTATACTATAGTACTTAGTAATACTAATAGTATATACCTCTTCCCTCCTTAGCCTAGGCCTAGGTCTAGATCCCTACTAGGATCTAGGTTAATAAAGTAGATTAATATATATTTCTTAGGATTAAATACCGATATATACCTATTAGCCTAAATATTAGTATACTAGTAAGCCTTTTATAGTTTAGAGATATTTTCCTACTTACTTTTTCCTATTATAATAAATACTATATTATTAACCTAAGCGCTTATTTTTACCCCTTTATATCTACCTACTAGATCTATATTATAGATTAGGTATAGGATTAGAGAGAGAGGTAAGCCTTATAGGATACTAGTTAGTATTAGGATACTAGCTAATACCCCTTCTAGTATCTATATATAGGTACTCCTCTCTATAAGGAATACCCTAATCTAAAGTACTAGCTAGCCTAGCTATCTTTTATATAGATTATAGATTAACCTCTTATAAGAGATATTATTATACGCTCTAAAGATATTAAGTATTAGTATACTTACTATCTTACTATATCCTTATACTCTCTATACCTTACTAATAATCTCCTAGATAGCGTGGTCTATAGAGATACCCTTTCTCCTACTAAGATATATATTTAGGAGTAGTCCTTTAGTCTTAACCGCGTAACTGATTCTCTAGGTAATTACTACCTCGAGGAACTTACTAAGTATATTAAGAAGGGTAACCGGCTGGTAGGACTTTACAAGCTAGTAATCCCTCTTACCAGCCTTTTATAGGACTACTATAATCGATTTCTAGAAGTAGGAGGGGTTAGTCCCGATCCGTACGTAGGCGTTATATATTTGTGAGATGGTAGCGAGTACTACCAGGATTTCAATTAGTTTGTGCCACAGTGAGTTCGGTAGGCTGTCCTCTCCTGGTACTTTGTTTGGTGGTAATGATTTGATTACTTGAGTGATCTCTTGGTATATGATCTCTGGGAAGTAGATCGGCTCCTGATTGATAGCTGTTGTATCATGATTGATCGTCATCATATCATGATTGATCGTCTGGATGTCTGAGAGGTCTGCTGGTGGTGGTACTGGGAAGAAGGCCTGCTGGTGCGCATTTCTAATTCTTTGTCTGATGCTCATCACATACGCGTTGATTTCTTCAAATGTAACACACACCCCCAAGGAGTTCAAGCTGAAGAGCTATCTGACCCCGTTGCGAGAATGTAAGTTTCTGCTCTTGTGCGTCGTCAGCTTCTTCATGTATTTTATGTCACCTGCGCTCACCTTTCTCTGATTCTTCTGGCAAACTGACTTTTGCAGGGGGCATGTTTATTCCTTACGTTTACATAGTGATATCCGCAATCCACTATGGCATGTCGGTCCAGATGGGATATAATCTCATTCCCATTCTGAATGGCGTTAGGTAAGAGAAGCACAGAGAAGAGACAAAATTCTCGACTTCATGGATTAGAAATCTCACAGAGTTGGTATCCTAGTTTCTTCGGTCGAATCGTCCCCCAAATTTGGGCACGCAAATACTGGATTTGTAACATCTTTATCATCGCAATGATTGCATCCATGATCATCATACTCGGCTCATGGCTTCCCTCGCGCAGCAACGCCGCTATCATCGTCTTCACACCGTCCCGGGCGATCGGTTCGCCGGCAATCGGGGGACTGGTCAAGGCACCCAGACCAGCCACTGCAAAGGCGGTGCCCATCCGATATCCGATCTCGTTGGGCGGGGACATGGTCAACGCAATCATGGGCCCTAGTCCAATAGTCGCACCCGATGCAAAGCCAAACAGGAGAGGCGACTATGTGTATGCATCTGTATTCAGCGGAGTAGCGTATGCGGTGTCAAATATGCTACCCCGAGGTCCTTCCTAACCTTACGACTTAAAAAGATAGACCCGACCTCGCTTTTCTTCGTTCTCCGTTTCTCTTTTACTCCTCCCTCCGTTCCCTCTGTCCTGCGTGGGGGGCCTTAATATTTAGTTTACAGATATATCCCAGATAGCGATACATCTCTTGTATTAAGATAGTATCATTAACTCTATCGATCTCTTCTTCGGAAGTAGAATTCGACCTAGAATCCGAGGTAACGTTAATCTAGACCCGATCGACCATATTTTGATCTCGTTTTCGTTCTCAACTTTATAGTTAAGAGCGCCGTCAATAAAGAGGCGTCTATTCAACTTCTTAACTAAGCCTACCACTTCGCGGTTCTTGCGAATTAGAGCGGAATTTAATGGACCTGGCTTGTAATGGATCTTGAAGACTGGAATAACAAATCCGATGCAAATTAATTATCGAATGATGAGGGTTGCAATCGCAACTCAGATTAATTGCAAGGAATAATATATGTATACAGGGCACTGTACATTTGCACAAGAACCCACTCAAATGTACTGCCTACTGCGTATTCGCCATGAGACTATAGGGGTATGTGAGTGCTTGAGTCGGAAGATAATATCCCGGCGTTATAATGTTCCATCTTCTGCAGTAGTTCTACAGATGCTCATGACGCAAACCTATAGTTAGCGTGTATTACATGAGAAGATCATTCAGCTGGCGCCACTCACGAGTGGTGGTGCGCTGAGCCCAGAGACATTGGTCGACAACAGCTGAAGGAAAAAGCAAAGAGCTTTGTAATTTGTGACCAGTCCCCCTTTATTAAGATATCTCATTATCTCTGTACGACATGATAGTTCTTGCCGTGTTTTTCCTAATTCTTTATAGTTCTGTCTTGAACTAAACCTTATAATTAGATGTTTGGAAAATCTCAGGGGCTAAACCCGAGATGCATGTACATACTTGTACATAGTACCTGCTCCACCTGAATATGTGCTTATACCCCACTGCATATATTGTCCCTGGGCTCATGCACTACATGCACGCTACGCCACCACCTCAGCTCGTAACCGCCCACTCTGAAAACAAGTAAAAAGGAGAAAAAAGAATGTGAGTTATATATCTTATTACAGGAAATATTTGGGTATAAATAAGAGACCTCAGCCAGAAAAAGCTCCCTAGATGTTTCTTCTCAAACACTTTGTTCATACCAATCAAAACAAGAAAAAGCCATTAGGAAAAATGACAACCCCCGAGTGGAAGTATTACCCCATCAATGGAATCTCGGTGAATTCCGAGGAGCCATCCAAGTTGGGTCCTGAGGTTCAAGTTCCTATCCGTCAAGAAATCGACTCATGGAGCAACAACCCTGCCAATGAGAAGCAAGTCAAACTATTTGTGATGGCATTGTCTCGCTTCCAAAAGATTGACCCCAAAGATCGAGACTCGTACTTCCAGATTGCTGGAATTCACGGACAGCCCAATGTACCATGGGATGAGCCTATTGACTCCAAGGATGCAGAGGGAAGAGGATACTGTACTCATAACAATATCCTGTTCCCCATCTGGCACCGTGCTTATCTTGCACTTTACGAGGTAATGGATTGCGCCCCATATCCCGATTTCGAAATGAACTAATAAATTTCAGCAACGTCTACACGAAATCATGAAGCAAGAAATTGTCCCTGCTTTTGCGGAGGACCTCCGCCCCGAATGGAAGGAAGCCGCTGATGGATGGCGTCTGCCTTTCTGGGACTGGGGTGTCACTACTTCAGTTCCGGATCTTTGCAAATACCCATACATATTTGTGCCGACCTCGGATGGTACCGGTGAAGAGAACATCAACAACCCACTCTTCCAATTCCGCATGCCGACCAACCAGCCCATGTCCACTGCTGGTGTTGATAACTTCAAGGACCCCTGGGTCGACGATGGAGATATGCTCTACGTATGTTATTACTCTACAAAACTAGGTATTTATTCTAACCGTGATAGTTCGGTGAATGTATTGGAACTACCCGTTGGCCTGATGAGGGCGAGACTGCCTCTGGTACTCATACGTGGAAGTACGGTGTGGTAAATAACTACAAGGTGCAGGAAGCACTGAAGAAGCCAGTTTGGCTGGGCGAGTCTCCTTACGGTCAGCCTGCGGAGATGGTCTACCGTCTATTGACGGTTCCCATGGACTATTCTACATTTGCAACAACGGCTCAGTTGTCCGATAACCCGGAGGTTCAAAACGACATCAACCTTGAGTACAGTAAGTTTCCCCTGAGAGTAAATTTTTAAACATTTCTTTGACAATCTCCAGTTCACAACAACATCCACGGTTGGGTTGGCGGTGATTTCAACGGACACATGTCTCAGATCCCAGTGGCGACATTTGATCCTATCTTTTGGCTTCACCATTGGTAAGTCCATTTCCATCAGTGCTGTCTTCAACTTCTAACGAGATTGCAGTAACATCGATCGCATCTTTGCCCTGTGGCAAGCCCTCAACCCGGATAAGTGGTTCGAGAAGTCGAAGGTCAACGCATTCTTCCAGGAAACAATTGGTCTTCCCGATGGTGCAGAAATTACTCCGGATACAGAGCTACGCCCATTCCACAAAGACACCACTGGAACTCTCATGAAGCCCAAGGATATTCGTTGGCCTTACAAGCTCGGCTACACATACCCGGAGTTGCAGACCTGGAACTACAAGCCTGAAGGCTACACTTCCGAAAGCTTCATCTCAACCCTCCGACAAACCGTAAACAACCTTTACGGCGTATCGAGAAAGCAATTGATTGATGCAACCAACAACATCGAGGGAGTAGATTATCTTGAGGACGGCTCTAAGTCTCTTGATTATTCGTTCAGCATTCGCTACCGCAAATATGCCCTCGATGGGGGTGAACCCTTCTGGATTCGCATATACATCTCGCAGGATGGAAAGACGCACAACGCGACCCAAGACTTGGTTACTGAAGTTTACAACTTCAGTCAGAAGCCTGAGGACAAAGCAGGAAAGCTTGCATGTGGAAACTGCAAGGACAACAAGAACAAGAATATCAAGTCTACTGCGAGCATTTCTCTCACTCCAATCTTGATTGCTCTTCTCAAGTCAGGCAAAGACTTGGCCAGTCTTGCCAGGGACGACGTCCTAAGCTTCATCCGGAGCAGGGCTTATTGGAGAGTCTTCAAGGGCGGTAAGGAGGTACCCTCGTACCAGGTGGAGGCTCTCGACCTCGAGATCATCGGAAGCACCAACGACTCGACAGTCTACAATGACGCCACGAAGGCTCCAAAGCTGGAAAACTTCAAGGAAGAGCCTACCATCTCCGACGGAGCAGGTGGTGCCCTAAACCCAGACCTCAAGCAGCCCGTGACAATTGCACCTCCAGTGGTTGCAGTGATCCCCAAGGCTGGCCTCAAGGTCAACTCCTCCCTACCATTCAAGCAAGCCTTGAAACCCGACGGGGTGGTGATCATCGACTCGACCAGCTTGAACCTGACACCAGCTAAGACCTCTGGCATTGATAACACCCAGATCTATCTGAACGAGGGTAAGAACGGAGATGGCGATATCCTGTTCCTCCTCTCCATTAGGCGATCCGAGAACCAGATTGTCTTCAACACTAAGATCAACAACTCCTTTGGAAAGGAGGTTCGTATCCCGCTGGAGAAGAGGTTCAAGGGCACAACGCCTTCTATCCTTATTCATGACCAGGATGATGGTTATGAGGTCTTCATTGACTGGAAGCACGCCCTGTACTTCCCTAAGCGGGCTGTCGGCAAGGTGGCTCAATCAGTGTCGTACAGTGTCAATGCTGGGCAAACACCTGTGTGGTCTTCTAACCTGAAGGTGAAGGTGTACGATTCGATGAGGGGGGTGTTCCACCACTAGCCTAAAGGAAATTGAGTGTCCAGGCGATTTGTGATTTTGGACCTGTACGAGAACATACTTCTGTCTTTACCGTTTGTTTATATTTTGAAGCTATCCCGGTGCATGTTGTAACGGAAATGTATTTTTTTGGGGCTGCCTAGAATTTCGGCACTAATTTAATCAAAGATTTGTTTTATATTCTGCTTTTATATACTTTCTTATCCCAAGCAGCTTTATTGTGATTTGTCTTCTTTCCCTAATGTTGGATAGGACAAACCCTAACACTTCTACGAGCTTCTCTGCGAACCATAATACTATTAATAAAAGATTTCCGCCTAGGCAACGTTATTCTTAACATATTCATCCTCATATAATCAATATCCTTTGGCTTCAGGCTCACATCTTTTTGTAAAATGTCAGGACGAGTCTCGGGTATTGGCGGAAGCTGATCAATAATCACCTTTAAACTAGCGGTGCCTCCTAAGGCTGGATTGGGTGATGCGCAGGGAATATGCTCACTAATCATTCAAATTTGATGGAGATGATGATATATATAAAAATTATCATTTGTCATACATCTAAGAACATCTAAGATTCGCTTGTCAGTTAGACTGTATATATATAAGGGCTGAAAATTGATATAGACGAATACACTACTTCCTAAAAGCCATCTAATACTTTGCTACGAATCCGTACTTTTCATCCTTTTTAACACCATGTCCTCATCACCTATAAAAACCGTGTTAGTCATCGGGCCAGGTGGAAATGTGGGCAAATCAACTGTGAAAGCTTTACTCGATGAGAAATTCGAAGTCACCGGACTCACTCGAGAATCATCTGAGGCTATTTTGCCGGAAGGTGTGAGACACATAAAGACCGACTACTCTGAAGAATCACTACGCGATGCATTTAAAGGTCAAGATGCGATCATTAGCACGATTTCTAGCATTATCCCAGGAGCCGCCTTGACCCTCCAGAAGTCTCTTGTGGACTCCGCCATATCCGCCGGCGTGAAAGTCTTCTTCCCGTCCGAGTATGGTATTGACACCTCGGATAGGTCTGCGTCTGAGTACATTCCATTCCTTGTGGATAAGATTCAGACCGTCGACTATCTTAAGACTCAACAAGACAAGATCTCTTGGACAGCAGTCATCACGGGATCACTGTTCGACTGGGGCTTGAACATCCCCGGCTTTGGAGGCTTGGATGTACCTGAGCGCACTGCCACTATCTTCGATGGTGGTGACATTTCCTACGAGGCCACAAATCTTGATCAGGTCGGAAGAGCAATCGCAAGATCTTTGAAAAGCCCGGACCTGACCAAAAATCAATATGTCTATGTGAACAGTTTCACTGTCACTCAGAATAAAGTTTTGTCTGCCCTTGAGAGAGCGACGAATGAGAAATTCACACTTTCCGAAAGCACTGTTGAAGATCTTTGGCAGGATGGGGCTACCAAATTGAAGGAAGGACAGCCACTTGGTACCGTGTCCATGATTGCCGCATCTATATATGGGAAGGGAGGATTGGCAAGCTTTTCGCAGACGAAAGGGCTATGGAACAAGGTTCTGGGGTTGCCACAAGAGGACTTGGATGAATTTGTGAGAGGTTATGTGGCAAGGGGAACGGCTTGATCAAATGATAAGGGGAAAGCCCACTCAGGGCTGTTTTGTCCTTGCATCGAAATAGTATCAAGAAAGGTTTTGTTTGAAAAATGTTTTTGAGAGGCCTCTCTATTTAGTAGTTCTGTCTTTATCTTCTAGCATATTCAATGTCAACACATGCATTAAGATACATGCCATTCTATATCTACGTTTTCCTTCGTATAACACGGTCAAGCGAAAGTTTCCCAACAAATGTCCCATCGCTCCCCTTTTCATAACTTTGATGTTTGAGCGCCCAAATTTCATCAGAAATATTTACTCGGAGCCAACTGATTTTCTCTTAACCAAAAAGCTCCCAGGTTGGCTTCATACATTTAGTTAGCCTACTGGAGTTGGAGACTAGTCAAATTATTAGACACATTTTTGAAAGATGTATCAATATTACTGGGACGATGTTCGATATTCGAATTGAATGCCGGGTTTCTGTTGAGTATCCATTCCTCGGACTCGGGATTTTCTGTCGGCATTCCAGGGGGGGGAAGTGGATCTATGATGACAAAACAAAATTCACCCAATGTGCCAAGATCCCCATGTGCAAATCAGATCTTAATTTCCCTATCATCTGATAGTCGATAGATATCGTAGAAGGCCTCGGCCGTCCAGCCATTGAGCCGAGGTGTTACTTCCTCCGAGGGAAATTGCAGGGGAAGTTTCTGTTCCCATCTGTGTACCAATACTTAATTTTGAATCATCGTCTATTTATGAATGTACTACCTACGATATCTTTCCCGCCCGTCAACCGTGTCTCCAAATACCTCGGTCAATCCAATTCTCGGTGAAAATTATGGCCACCACTTTAGCTGAACATGTATCGCTGCAGAAGTTGCATGGTCATTATGTTTCCACGCACCTTCCCCAAAGGATGGGGAATTTGGCACCCATCGCGTACGGAGGCTATGCTATCGCTCTCGCGATACACGCTGCGTATAAGACCACCCCGGATGGATTCCACTTGCACTCGGCGTTTGGCCATTATCTCCGACCAGTAAGCACTGAAGCAAATCTGATATGCACGCCTGTCAAACTCCGCCAATCGAAGGGTTTCATAACCTACCGCGTTGCCGTTGAACAAAATGACCCCTCGACTGGCCAACAGCGCCTATGCATGGAGCTCCTAGCCGACTTCCACCGGGATGAGCAGTCTGTCCTCACATTCTCGAGTCAACCAACTCGGAGTTACAGTCACTGGCGGGATTGTGTGCCCTGGGACCGCCTTGTGGAGGATTGGGTCAAAGCCAAAAAAATATCAGAGTCACAATTTAGAGCTTTCAACACTCTATTTGGACTATCCCGAAACCTCTACGAAGGTCGCCCGTGTCCGGAGGGAATCACTACCCAAAATCTGATGGGGATGGCCAAGACTGTCAAAACCAGCCAGGAGGAATTGTCTCCGACAGCAAAGTCGTCAGCGGACTGGCTCCGAGTCAAACACCCTCTACGGACAGAAGGAGAAGAAATGGCCAGCTTAGGGTTTATTATGGATGGTGTTTTGTCGTTTTTGCCTTTGGCACACAATCACATGTCCTTCGAGGACGCTGGTGTGTGCTCGAGTTTGGATTTTGCTCTGCGCATCTTTGCGCCGCGACTCAAAATGGAACAGTGGCACTTGAGGGAGATAATTAATCACCATGCCGGCAACGGCCGCACATACAGTGAGAGTAAATTATGGGACGAGGGAGGGAATTTAGTGGCTTCTATGACGCAGCAGTCAATTTTGCGAGTTCCTGCCAAAGCTGCAAGGATGTAAAGAAAAGTAGCTATTATTTACCCTTAGATTTTTTTTAGCTTTATAGAATATGAGATATTCAAGATAAAAAGGCAAAAGGGTGTGAATCTTTTGCTACCTCTTTGTCAGAAAATTTGTAAGTAGCACGGCGAACAACAATACTCGCAATGAACGTACTCAGACAATCTAGCTCTGGTAATTTCTACCGACAGAGGGTTACGTCCTTCGTCTGCCATGTCATTATGTGTCAATCCTTGAAATGCTCTATATACCCGCCGCATGGCTTGTGAGCAGCCCTCTTTTTACGATCACAACCTCGTCCCTCTTCACTAGGATTATGTCCCCCCTTTTTGTCACCGCAAAGATTAAGTCGAGATTCCTACTAAGCCAGTCGCTAGGAAAGAAGAAATGTCGCGCCAAATGATTTCCATTTTCGGCCTTCGGATCTGCGCTGCACACCCAATTCCTACCATCGAGGAAAACCAAGCGCTCTGTCTGCCCCGGGTCGGTGCCAGTAGTGCCAATGAGGACCTCAACATTGTCATTCAGACCGCTGTACCCTGAGGAGGGGGTCACAGCCTTCGAAACTAGAGTAAAGTCGGAGGCGTTCCAAAGCACAAGTTTGGATTTTCCAGGAGGCCAACGCGCCTCGCTGAACATAGTCGCCACGATTGTTCCATTGAAGCAGGGAATGATTGAGTAGATCGAGAGATCTGATGGTATACTGCCTTCCAGTCGTATTCCTGCAGGCCCGGTAAGTCGTCTTAATGCTAACCAGTCGAAGATATGCACCTCGTGGTGGGTTATGAGGATAAGGTGGCCTGGGTTTGAGGGGTGGTTCGCCCATCGGTATGATCCACGGTCCTCATAAGAAATGGTGGCTAGCAAGACACTCTCATCTAGTGAGATTGACCAAAGCATGTCTGATTTTTCAGAGGAAATAAGAATTCGATTTAACCCTATTTCGCATACCAATTGGCCCACTGACATGTCGGCTCGGTGGTCGAATAAGATCTCAATCGCCACCATAGACTGAAGTTGACGAGTCAATCTATGAATCTTTATTCGACTAGATGAGTCGATGCTACTCAGAGTGTGACTCTTTTCCTCGAAAAAAAGATAAACAATTGGGACTCCATGGGCGTGGCTGAAAAGTTGCCGAGATGGAAGACCAGATTCAATATTATGGACATAGACCGATCCGTCCTCTTTGCCACAAAAGAAAACTTCACCACTCTCGTGACATGCTAGCGATGTGATCAAAACAACATCTTCAGAAGGCACCAGGCTGGTTTCTTGCAGTGTGTTTGAGACGATTGCGATATCGCTTGCTTCTTCATCCTCGCTCTGCCCTACAAGGACCGTGGGGCCCCAAACACGGCATCGTGATCCTCTAATGTCAATCAAATGTAGACTATCTCCACTGAAAGCAAGGCCCTGTATACCGGGCTCAACCGAATTGATACGATATATCAGATGCATTGTCTCGAGGTTGAACAATTGGATGGTTCCAGATGGATCGGCAGTAGCCAAGGTGGAGCCATCTGGCGAGCAGGAAAGGGAATTTGCGAAGGCAACGACCCTGTTTTTGATCTCGCCCGTGGAGGTATGAAACAGTACCAACTCCCCGTCTCCATACGCCGAAATAAGTACATTGGCGTTGGCCCCATTGCCAAAAACAAGACATCTGACTCCGGCCGAGCCATATGGCCTTCTGGAGCCACTAACTGCGCTCGACTCTCTGCTGTAGATATCGTACAGAGAATCGCTCTCAAGATCCCAAAGCAAGATGTCGTGGCCTTTGTATATGATAGCCAACAGATCTGCGTCAATGCTGAATGCTGCTGTAACTGGCCGACGATAGAGTTGGGTTCTCATCTCTTCTAGACCTCTGGTCCAATCCACGTTCGCCTTCAAATCTCCGTTGTTTAAATCCCAGATCTTTAAACGATGGTCTTTCGTAGCTCCGAGTAGAAACAGGTCGCGATGGGTAAGCGTGAGTGCCATACACTGTTGAGGTACGTCGAATCTCCATAGCTGTACTTTTGAGGCCAGATCCCATATACGGATGCTTTTTGAGCCAGCAGAAACAAGTATGTTCTCAGTATTACCAAATTTCAAGGGGCCCACAGGCTCTCCGTGTTGAAGGGAGCCAGTCTGCTCAAAAGTGGATTGTTTAAATAAAGAAATGGTACCACCGAAAGATCCAATGGCAAATTGGATTGTGGAGGATGCGAGGCTCGAGTATTGCTCGTATGTATTAACAATTGTCGATAAGCAGTCGTCCCAAGTCTCGGCACGCAATCCACGTACATTGATACTACGAGCTGTTGATGCAAATTGCTTCCAAGGGGCAGTCGCAGGCGGGCAAAAGGGGGGAATGAGATGGAAGATTGCGTGAGGGTAATCTTTGAGATTGGTACCGAACTTCATCACCAGTCGTATTAGATCGGTAGCCCAGGAGTTTAGCATAACTAGTTCCTTTGCAAGCGGCAATGTCTGAGAAGAGCTTCCTTGAAGGAATATGCGGAGAGCCTTGCTTGTTTGAATCAACCGATGTAGGTCGGAGTATTTTGCAATATACTCCACCCAGGAGAGAACATTTGACGAGTTGAAGAATTTTGCCAGCGCGAATAAAACATCTTTGTCTGTCCACGATAGGTGCATGATATGTTCGAAAAAGAAGTCACAAGCGTAGCTGACAAAGACAGAGCGTTCTTTGGGGTTACTGCCCGTACTCGATTTTTGACTTCTTGAAACCTTCATTTCAACACCATTGAGGTATTGTAAACAAGTCAACAATAAGCGACGGTGGCCAATTTTCTTATCGACTGCAAACTCCAAGCTTGTATTTTCTTCGAGAAGAAAGTTTCGCGCCGTCAAGTGAATCATCTGTACCTGGCTTTTTGCATCTACATAGACCAATTGCCCACAACACGATCGTATCGACGCCTCAATGCTGTCTATTGAATCTTTGAGATCTTACCGAAGCGCCTCAGAGAGCTCAACTATTTTCAAGGGCCGAGTAGAGCATACCGTCCAGGTAAGTATGGCCTGTGCCAGGGCTTTCCCGTACAATGCTTTCGACATATTGTGCAATATTCGAGCAAACAATTCGTTCATGTCAGTAGGAACTTCGTCCAGAATTCTCTCCACGTCTGCAGACGTATGAACATATTTCAGTTCCTGGAAGACTAGGGTAACCCATAAGAAACAACCCCTCGACTTATCCACAATCTGGCGAACTATATGTTGCGGGCCTCTGTCATCAGCCGAGGGGATCTGGTCTACATTTGCGTCCAGATACAATGCGATATCGGATTTGGTATCCTCTTCGAGGATAGGCTCGGAGAGTACCCGGACACTTGAAAGACCCAGTCTCTGACGGGGCTCAAATGAGTTCCGGGAAGTCAAAAATACGCGTACGGAGCATACTTCAGCCACCTTCATGAGTAAGGGGACAACTTCCGCTTCGCTTTTGCATTCGTCCAGAGCATCAATCACCCAATAATGAATATGTTCGAACGTGACTTTGAGAATGCCGTCCAAAAACAATTTTCGCCATATGGTACGGTAGTCGGCTTTTCTCAGTTGGTCGTCCTTTTCGCAAATTTTGAGGCAGGTCGCAAGGACATTCTCATCCGAAAGAGCCATTTGCCGGGCCATGGACAATAGAAAGGTGGTGATGTTAGATTTCTCTTGGTTGCCGTATTTGAAGAAGTAGAAGCTGGACTTCTTTTGCAGCTTTCTGAGGTGCGTAATGACCTTCCCACACAGAATCGTCTTGCCAGTGGCCGGCTTTGCAACGATAACGTAAATTGGCGAATTGTCACCGTGAAGCCATTCCTGAAAATTTGACTTGTCAACCAGCCACTCACAGGAGCCACTCATTCTCAAGCTGTCAGCGTTCATTAAATCGTCCTCCGGGCCGTCAGATACGCCTAAGAGCGTTTCAAGTAACCGCTGCCGGTCACTGATGATGTCTCGCGATGAGGATGCCAGACGGTTTCGTAGGATGTCCAAACCCGAGGCCAGCGCATTTCGAACCGTCCGATAGTTTGTATCATCCTGGGAGGCATACTTACAAATACCGCGATGATTTGCGTGTATATACTCTCTCCGTTCATTTGCATATCCCAGTATCGCTAGGTCTTTATCCACCACAAGACTTTTCTTGACGCCAAAGCTAGTAGGAAGTGTCTCGTAGAAAGAGCAGAGCTGCATGTCGTGGCAATGATGGGGAAATTCGTCATTGATGGACTGGATGGCGCTAGAATTGCGTTGGAGATCGGTAATGAACGGTCTGGGCCCACCGCCCAAACTGAGAAGTTTCAACAAAGTTGAAGCCAGATCTGCTCCTCGATGGGGTGTAGCTAGGAAGAACATGGCTTGAATTCGAGTAGCCAGGTACTCGAACTCCCATTTCCCTTTCGCCAACAGATATGCACGTTTTATGACGAGGCCCCCCATGCTGTGCCCTATCAGCACAATTGGAGTCTGCGATCGGAGTAAGCTATGTATTTAAAACAGCTTTGGATCGTTCTTGTCATTCTGAACATTGACTAGTGAATGGCATCGGAAGCGGATAAAGCACATACTCTAGTACCCCGAGGAATATTTGGACAATCAAAGATTGAGCCAAGCAGTGAATTCGCGAAGTCGTGGATCCCGAGAATGCTTTCTTTGTCCCAGTTCGAGTCATAACCAAAGCTATGAATTCTGGTATCTTGAAAAGCATCATCGTTCGGCAGCCACTCCTTCGGCCAATAAAGCGATGGATCGCCCGATTTCGTCCACGTGCTTCGCGATCCTCCTCCAAGGCCGTGTACAAAGATTAAGTCGGCGTTTGCGGATCCGCATAACGGTATGTGTAAAGTGTTCAATCCGAATTCTCCTTTTGTATTCTCTGAAGAGTTACTTTCTTCGATGCGTCTTAATAGGGTGCGGGAAATAAAGGACCGGACACTGGAAGGCGCTCGCTGCAATCCGTGATCCATTTTCTCAGAGGAGCATAGGTTTCAGAGCGAAATACCCAAAAATTAGCCTAATCTTGTCTTGGTCCTGCTAAAAAGCTGCTCTTAAAGAGTGTTCATAATTGTAGATGATTGTCAATCGCTTTACTCATAAGTAGGTATGGCTCAACTAGGCTACTTGTGATATCCGCGAGAAGGTAGTGGGATGATGCATGTCTCCCTCCTGTTGCTGCCCGACTCTGGTGAGACCTGTGCCTTTGCCGAATCAGGATGTAGAGTCCCCACCGATGGTTAGGTGCGTAGGTTTAGCGTGATGCAGTGAGTGTCAAAAGCCTATGCGAGCAATGAATGGCTCCGATCAGTAGTCAAGATGCACCACACTAATGCCATTATCAAGGCGAGCAGGCGACATAGGCCTGAGTACCCAATGAGATAAGGATCGCAGGGAATGGGAGGACGCTACCTGTGGGCCATGGCGCCTCTCAGCACGCCTGGGCAGGTACGGGGTACGGGTGTTTCCGTACCGCTCCGAGGCATGTCAGGTGTGATTAGCAGAGAGTTCATGTTGGAAGGTCACGTGACCGCCACTGTTTGCTCCCAGTACTTTAGTCTTAGCATGTAGATAGTTTCTCTCTCTCTCCACGCATTAAGAGATTTCCAGTTACATCTACATCTTCATCGTAGATCTCTAGTATCTCTAACAGGTTATGAGCCTTGTGTTTTCGAGTCCTCTACATTACTGTACAGACTCGAAACCCTGGTTTTCCTCCTATTAGTATACTGCGTCGCACTACCCCACTGTGGAACCTCTGTGGTCTCGTTTTAACCCCATAAATCAGAGTTTTTATTACCCAATCGGACGAGATTAACACCTTATCCACTGGGATCTTTATCTATTATAGGTGGATCCTACCTCGTCGCCGTCGAATTACGTCGCTGATAACCCTCGATAACCCGAAAATCGGACTGTCGAACCCTATATTCTACTTGCTACCCGCTGTAGCAAGCTAATTATACCTCTTTAATAAGCATATCGGTGCGGAAGAAGACATTATAAAGCCCTTATACTATCTAAAGGACTTCGCTATTAACAGCTACGAGATTAATATCTTGTCGGCTATCCCAAAACTAAAGGGATAATCTAACTACAGAGATTAGGAAACCGCTCTCTATATAGCTTTTATAGCTAATAACCGTTACTATATATATATAATTTCTAATAGAATCCTAATACTAAAGATCCCTAAGTATTAGGACTCTAATCCTAATACTATTCGCGCTCTTCTTATTAAGGAAGCTTAGGACCTTACCGGTAATTATATAACTATAATTATTATCTCTGTTTCTGCTGTTTGTAAATATATAAAGGAGATTATTAATATAAACGTTGTACTCTAAAAGTAGTATAATAAGGACTATATAAACTAGGATCTATATAATTCGAGAGTGAATCTCTTACTTAGGGGTACCCTCTCTCCTAAACCCTTTTCTCTTATTACTTAGAGTACTAATATATAAGAGATATTTAAGAAACTACATATAATATACACTACCTTATCCTACTAATATTTATATACTCGCTATAGCAAGTAGATAGATCTTTACTTTAAGAATAGATCTACTAACGAGTTTATATATAAGTTCTAGGAAGCTTTTTATAATCTTATAACTTCTAATAGTAAATTAAACTTAGGATATATACTATACTAGTTTAAAAGAGCTATCTCTAAGAACCCTAAGTATAGTACTTTTCTCTAGAACCTAAGGGTCGATAAGAGCGATATTAATCTTATAGATAAAGTCTATACTAAGTTCCTCGAAGTAGATATCTATATTAGGTCTATAAATCCTTTATATAATACAAACTCGACTACTATTTAAACCTTATTATTATCCTATAATAATAAGAAGAAGGATACGAAGAAAGGAGGTAATAATAAGTAATCTAATTCTAATAATAATAAGGATAAATCTTTAAAGAAGAAGACTAACTTTATCAGAGAGGAGAATGTTATCCTTTATAGGTATTATAGGACTCTTAGAAACTACTATTCTAATAAGTATCCCTTACTAAAGAACTCAGCGAATACTACTACAATTTAATAACCTTAGTAGTAATAATCCCCTTTTTAGTAGGTTATAGTCCCTTAACTAGGTTAAATTATAGGTTAGGTTAATAACTAAGGCCGGATCCTTTCTCTGCTATAATAACAGCCTCGTCTAAGGGCTAATACAGTCTTTACGCTAGTATCCTACCCTACCGCACTGTAGTAAGGCCCTCCTTTAAGGGATCCCCTAATACAGTATAATAACCTCTTTATAAATATACTCTTTACTAGTATCTAGGCAGATACTATTTATAGCTCTTATATTATATCAAAAGAAGGCCTTATAGCTAATAATAATAATAATATTATACGCTAGATAATTAATTCTAGTACTAGTATATATATAACCCCCTATAGATCTATCTTTATTAACTTTAGATAATATATATTACCTATTTCGATAGCTATTAGGGACGTCTTTTATACTAAGGGGTATAGGGATATAATCCTATACTTACTAGATTAAGATTTGTTAGGATAAATAGCCCCTTTTACTCTCTAAAAAGTATGGCTTATACTAGATCTTCGCTCTAGCTTAATCTCTATATCTACTCTCGATAAGGTAGATATTAGTATATAGATAAAGAACGGTATAATGATATTTAAATATTAAGATCTCTATAGCCTAGAGTCTACTATTAGTTTTACTACCTATAAAGGAGAGTATTACTAGTTAAACTATACTAGTATCGATAAGGTTAATTATATACTTAATTATAACCTTATTACTAGCTCTCTAAACTCTGTCTTTACTATATAAAGTAGAATTATACCTATCTCTATCGATCTAGTATATTATCAGGCTTATTACACCAGCGAGGAGCGTATATAAAAGATAGAGATATTTACTAACAGCGTTAAGCTAAAGAAAGGCGCTGGTATTACCTTTCCCTATATTCCTTATATTAAGGGTAAGGGCTACGCTTTACCTTTTAGTAAAGAACAATCTATTAGATTAAAGCCTAGTAAGTATATTTATCTAGACGTCTAAGGATTAATCTCTATTATATCTTATAGAGGTAAGTATTATTTTATAATATTTACGGATAATACAACTCGATTTATATGGCTATTTCTGCTTAAATCTTAAGCTTAAGTTACTAAGGTCTATATATAATTAGAGACCTATTTAAAGACTTAGTTTAACTATATAGTTAAGAAGGTTTATAGCGATAATACTATAGAGTATAAACTACTTACTACTTACCTTACTAGTAAGGGAATAGTATAGGATCTAATTCTACCCTATATTAAGTAACTAAATAGTATTACTAAGATTAAAAATTATTATCTTATTAAGCCCTTAATTGCTATTATAACTAAGTATTAGCTTCTAAAATACCTTTAGGGACTCCTTCTTGGTAGAATTAATTATACTATAAATTATCTCTATACATCAAAGATTAGTATATCTCCTTATAAAGTGTTATTCAGTAAGAAGCCAAATCTTTTAAACCTTTATACTCTTGGTTATTAATACTAGTTTCTTATCCTAAAAGAGAAGCGAAATATAAAGCTAGATCCTTATATAGAAGAGGTAAGGTTACTTGCTTATAATAAGGGAGATAACTATATAGTCTATAATATTTATACTAAGAAGATTAAACGCTTACAAAACATTATTTTTAATAAGAATCTATCTCTAGTAAGTCTACCTAACCCTACCTATAATCTTAATATTATAAGTATAAACTAAAATTATAAATATGATTTATAGGATTATTATATCCTAATCGATTTCCTACAGCCTTACCTCGAGAATCTATTTAATATATAATCTACTTCCCTACCCTCTCCTACTATTAAAGATAATCCTAAGGATTAATTATAAACAAGGGCTCCGAATACTCTTGACCTATTAAATCCCACGCTTTTTAAAGAAGATCTTATATAGTTAAACGATAAAATAGCGGGTAGTTTTAGTAGGTATATAATAGAATAAAGAGAGGATACTAGTACCTACTTTAAAGTAGGTAGGTAAGGGGTTCTTATCGAACTATAGCCTATTTCCTAATAGGTTATTAATATAGATATTCCCTTAGAAATAACTATTAATCTATCTTAAGATCCTCTACTAGAAGGTAAGGATTATAATTAATTACTATTATATTATAATCAATTACTATTACAGCTTAATTAAGCAATTTTTAAATATGATTTCTCTTACCTAGATCTGGTACTAGATAATAGGACTTAAGATCGAAGCTATATTCAGCCTATTTAGCCTATTCAGCCAGAGACTAGCTAGCTATAATGATTAATAAGGATTAAGAAACCTAGTAGAGCTTATATTAAAAGCCTAGTTAGTAAGTTATTCTTTAATTCTAATATCCTTTAGCTACTTACTAAACAGCTAGATATCTTAATTAGTCTCTTCGTAAATACTACT